CTTTAAAGACTTTCTTTTTCATATGTCTTCCCTGCTTGGATAACGTAGCCTCACTCTGGTCTCCATATGCCCCAAGCCACCTGTTTATTCTTGCTGTAAAGTGTTCCACCTCTGCAGGTTTCCACATCTAAGTAAGTGGCATGCCATTCTTCCAGTTTTCATGGAAAACAATCTTAGACTCATCCTTTCCACCTCTTTCTCTCACACCCCAACCTTCAGTCTGTCAGGAAATTCTGTTGCCTCTACTTAAAAGTCTAGGACCATCCCTTGCATACATTACTTGTACTACCGCCACCAGTCTCCACCATCATCATCTCTTAACTGATGATGGCTTTAAATTGCTAACATAACTCTCCATTTTCACATTTTCCCCATACACACAAGGTCTTTGTGAGCTGTCATATCTATTTCCTATGTTACTCAAAATATAAAATTGCTCTACATTTCACTAAGATTAAAAGCCAGAGTCTTTTCAGTGGCCAAAAGGTTCTTCCAGAACATGATAGGCCTGCTGACCCCAATTGCCTCTCCAAATTCCTCTTCTGTTATTCTCCTGAATCTCACCACTGCTTCAGTCACACTGGCCTTTGGGTCTGCCTAAACCATACAAGACATAGCCCTACTTTGTGACCTGTGTTCTGGCAGTTCCCTCTCCCTGGAACAGTCTCTTCTCAGATATCCCATCCCTCACATCTTAGCTTAGATCGTTCTTTTCAGTGAAGGCCACTCAGAGGACAATACTACTACATCCATTGCCCTTCATTTTTGCAACTTGAGGCTTGTATTTTTTCTTCAGCTTTGTCTGCTTGAGAAATGCTGAGCTGCTTCTTCCCCTTTGATTTTCTAACTCCAGGTCTTTGCACATTTCATTATAATACTTTGTCCTGTCAAACTTCCCTTTGAAATCTGTTCATCATTTCTCCCATTTACTTTAGCTACTCTCCTTTCAAGAGCAAATTTCAGAGTCTTTTCTGACATCTATTTTTGTCTTCTCTTCGTTTCCTGTCTTTTTAATGACCTGTGCTTCCTTTGTATGTCATATTCTTAATGTCCCACAACTTGTCTGGTGTCTAAGGCAGTAAATCTTTACAGAAGTAGATTGACCAATCTTCCTACTTTGAGTAGGTGGTGGGTTTGAACCACCAACCTTTAATAGCAGTCAAATACCCTAGGTATCACACCAGCAGAGCACCTTTGAATGTTGCAGAAAACATCAAAAGAAGATGGAAGGAATACAGAGAGTCTCTGCATCAAAAATAATTGGTTGACATTCAGCCATTTCAGGAGGTAGCAAATGATCAAAAACCAATGGTATTGAAGATAGAAATCGAAGCTGCACTGAAAGCATTGGTGAAAAACAAGCCCCCAGGAATTGACAGAATACCCATTGAGATGTTTTAACCAATTGATGCAGCACTAAATGTGTTCACTCGTTTATGGCAAACAATTTGGAAGACAGTTACCTGGCCAACTGACTGTAAGACATCCATATTTGTGCCCATTCCAAAGAAAGGTGATCCAACAGAATGTGGAAATTGTTGAACAATATCACTAATGTCACACACAAGTAAAATTTTGCTGAAGATACTTCAAAAGTAGTTGTAGAAGTATTATTAACAGGGAACTGCCAAAAATTCAGTCTGAATTCTGAAGAGGACATGGAAATAGGGATAGATAGCATTGCTGATGTCAGATGGATCTTGGCTGAAAACAAAGAACACCAGAAAGATGTTTATCTGTGTTTTATTCAGTATGCAAAGGCTTTCCAACTGTGTGAATCAAAACAACTTATAGATAACATTGTGAAGAATGGGAATTATTTCACCATATTTATTCAGTGTGTATGGTGACCAGATTATATGAGATGCTGGAATATATGAAGAAGAACATGGCATAAGATTGGGGTAAAACTTATGACCCACCTGCAATATGCGTATGAAACAACCTTGCTTGCTAAAGTGAAGAAGACTTGAAACGCTTACTGATGAAGATTGAAGACTGCAACCTTCAGTATGGATTACACTTCAACATGAAACAAAAATCTTTACAACCGGACCTATAAGCCTCATGAGATAAACAAAGAAGATAATTGAAGTAGACAGGATTTTGTTTTACTAAATCAACAAACAATGCAAATGAAAGCAACAGTCCAGAAATCAAAAACTATTGCATTGCATAAATCTGCTGCAAAAAATCTCATTAAAGTTTCAAAGCACAGAGATGTCACTTTGAAAACTAAGAAATGCCTAAGTTTAACCACAGTATTTTTAGTCACCTGATAAGCACGTGAAAGGTGGGCATTGAATCAGGAAGGCTGAAGAAGAACTGATGCCTTTGAGTTATGCTGTTGGGAAAGAATATTGACTATACCACAGACTGCCAGAAAAATGAACAAATCTGTCTTAGAAGTATAGCCAGAATGCTCCTTAGAAGCAAAGATGATGAGACTTTATCTAATGTACTTTGGACATGTTCTCAGGAGTTGACCAACC